TGTAAGTTAAGAAAATTGCAAATACTATATATTTAATTTTATGTTAAGATTTTGTTTAAATAAATATACAACCATTCAAAAAAACAATTTAAAATAATAATAATAGATAACTTATAAACGTCAATGTGAATCTAACGCGCACCACATTTTCACGAATCCAGCTGCTAGAGCTATTTCCAAACCCATCCTTCCTTAGAAAAGATCGTGCCCTTCCCTCAAAGGTCGGCAATACACTCGCAAACCTCCCAGCGTTATAGGCATCCATGAGCAATGGTGAGCACTTTAGTAACAGTGACTCTTCTGCTAGTTTGCCTCCTATACAAAATATTCTTAATTTACTACCAGCTTTCAAATTTAGCTCGTGACGGATTTGAAGAACTGGTGGTATGGTGTGTCATAATATAGCCTTGACATTCTAAGTTCACAATTTAAATTTATCGATACGATTACTAAAGAATTTTTCACTGAATTTTATTTAACTAAAGTGAAAAACTGCTTAAAGAATCAAAAGAAGAATACTTTCAGATTTGCATGATCAAAATAAATGAGTAAAGTTTCGACAGTTGGACAGCTCCGTCGTCCTCAAGAAAAGCTTGGAACATTGTCATCGCGAAAACAATTAACAGTGAATAGAATAAGTTCTTTTGAAGAGTTTAGATAACAAAATTGAATACAAGGAGTGAACTTTGACAACTCTTCAGTTTCCCCTAACATTGATAATTGTTGACAAAGGGAGGGTTCTTGAATAATATTTTTATCTTCGCCAATTGGATTAATTTTAAAATTAACAATCTGTATTACCGAACTAAGTATTTCCCTTTTTGTGTTAAATAAAAATTAAATAGTTTCGTGTTTTATAAGTATAACAAGAAAAGCAATTTAATTTCTTTTTCTTTTTATAGAACAGGGGGCAAACGGGCAGGAAGCTCACCTAATGTTAAGTGATACTGCCGCCCATGGACACTCTCAATGCCAGAAGGCTCGCGAGTGCGTTGCCGGCCTTTTAAGAATTGGTACGCTCTTTTCTTGAACGACTCTAAGTCGAATTGGTTCGGAAATACTTGAGTGGGCTGGTTTGACATAGTGGTGGTGCGCGGCAAAAACTGCCTAAAAAAGCTCGGTTGTGGAAGACGGACGTCGCGGTGATACGGAATACGTACCTACTCAACGAAATTAATTCCTATAACAGTGATAACTTTCTAATATTGTTCTCAAATAGGCACAGAACGAACAAGTATGCAATATTTTTTCGTCAGTCTTTATTATTCTGTATTCGCGCTGAAACATACATCAACATAGACAAAAACAATAGTTTTTCCACTTGGTGTCCTTCCAAAAGAGTAGCATTTTTCTCCATCAACAAAAGGCAATTTCGCGGTTCGTGGAAATCGTGAAAACGATTTATGCAACTGAAAATGTTTACCTGCTTTGAATTCTCAATGAAACTAACACAAAACACTTGTGTAGCTTACAGTCGCATGTAAAATTATTTCTCTGTTAATACAAAGGGACATTGTTAATTGCAAAATTATTTTACACAGAATTCATGGATATAATTACGAGTTCAATCCTTTGTTTGAAGCTTCTAACGTTAGAAACGTTAGAAGCTTCACATTCTGGGTTTTACTCGGTTTTTGTAATTTTGGACTACGATGGTAACTTTAATGAACTAGAATTATTCTGATATATGAGTAACTAGTCTGGCTAATGAAAGAAGATAATTGAATTATTTAAAAACTTTCGGATGGCAACATAGAATGTCATTGAATTTCATAGGTTAGTATGATTTATTGTCTTGATACTTCATGCAATTACTCATTTTTATTTCTATTATATATTTTTTCCGAATAGGTAACAGGCCTAAACTTTGTTTTATTTGATAGAATATTTCGTTTCTTTCGCAGGATTTGATTATTCCGAATAAAGTTGTGTTTTATAATAAATATAGTTTTAGTTTTCCATGCAATGCTAGTTATTTTAAGTATCAATAGTAAAAGACTAAATACGTATAGTATTTAATTTCATAGAAATACAGTTACTATCAATGTAAAAATAATAAAATAAAATCAAGTATCAAGTAAGTTTAATCCCCAAAATATATCAAACTTTTAGGGATACCATACAATTTTTTTTTGAATTTGCCGCGCTTTTTCGTTATCTTCTTTCATTAGCCAGACTCTAGCCGTTTACTTAGCGTTCTATGTGGTTAACAACTATATTGTTAAGTGATTAGACTTTGAAGTATCCCTGAGATTTTATATTACATGTGGTTAATTAACATTTGTTTGTACCCTCCATCCGGTATCATCCACTGCAATTGCCCGTTTATTGCCCACATCTCTAACTTTGTCTCGATTCTTAATTAGTCCTTTGCCTTCTAGTACCATAACTTAATATATATATATGTCAGAGATTAGGTTATAATAGAACACGGTGTAATTTGTTTGATTACAATGGCAACACCACGCTATATCATGGACATCTTACAGGTTGTAAAGTGTCAATTGTCAAAGTCAAGCTGTGTGTAGTGCGTAGAATCGGTCGTGAAGAGCTTGAGTTGCTTTCCGATCGGCGCCTGCGCTGGATGTGCGCACTGACTGTGTTTAAATATTAAGTAATTAAGTAATAATGTCGGACGACGGTAGTGATACCAATTTTGTAATTATTAATCGCGTCGAACCTCCGACATATACTTCTACTATTCATGTATGCCACTTTTTTGTATTCGTTTGGGTGGCGCCCTGGATGGTTTAGATTCACAAATCAGCCCAGCAAATGGCGCTGCAGTCGGTACTTTCATACTTTGTTTAATATCCTAATCGCTTGAATTATCATGTAAGACACGTCTGTCGGGTCAGCTAGTAGTTAGTAAAATTATATTACCTTTTTTAGTAAATACTTATTTAATTTTCATTAATTTAAATGTCTGTCGGTAAACCGTGCTATGTGTAGATTTAAAATAAAGCTAAAATGCACTCCAACTCTGTACTGCAGTCCATTATTTAAATGAACAAGATCTTATTCAGCTCACGTACACTTGGGTAATTGTGGAGTACGATTGATTTGTACGTTAAATTTACATTGAAGATTTTGTTTGTAATATTCTTACTAGACACAAGACGGAATGTCACGGCTGCTGTGTATGGTATTGGTTGGTGCTGATTTCTAAATAAATAATAAGACATTTAGGGAAAACTTAAAGATGAATCTAGTGAAAAAACGGACTTCTTGTAAACTCAGAACTAAATAGCGTAATGCCATCCATTTACTACTAGACCAGGCAAACTTCGTACCATGTTAGGCACATGGCAGTTACAAAACAAATGAATATTTTGAACTGGATTCAATATGTTTACAAATTTTATAATGTTAAATTCTGCTATTCGGGTCGAAGAATATAACAAATCAACCTTTTCGACCGAGTTTCATGGTTTTGGACGGGTTCAGCCGTTCTCGAGTTAGGTATAAGTATTCGAATAAAGCCGACTTTGTCTTACATACCTACTAGGATATACATTAGAACTCATTCTCAGACAGCCAATGCGTATAATTCAGGGTCTACCTATCCAATATGTGAGAGAAAATTCTCTTTTTTCTTTGTGAGAAGAAGTTGACCTAAATCTTGCGTTTGTCAAACGGGTAAATTGTCAATCAAAATCTCTATATATATAAAATTCTCGTGTCACAATGTTCGTTCCCATACTCCTCCGAAACGGCTCGACCGATTCTTATGAAATTTTTTATGCATATTCATTAAGTCTGAGAATCGGCTACTATATATCTTTCATCCCCCTAAGTGATAAGGGGTGCCCATCCCAAAAAAAAAAAATTTAATTCTTTAGAATTTTTTTCGTTTTTATTTTTTTATGATACAGCATACAAAAATACATACATATTTTTTATTATTGTAGATTAAGGTATTTTTATTGAACTAAAAAAATGTTTCCTAGAAATAATATCCATGGCAAAACATACGTTTGCTGGGTCAGCTAGTAATATTTAAATTTGGAATTTCCCTTTAAACATACTATAATTACTAAGTAAAACTATTCTAAGCCTTTAGAAGTACGAACTCCAGGAATTCATTATCACCTCGTACATAAATTACACTGCAACCATACATCGCAAGCAATCTTGTTCGCACCGATAAATCTCATTAGATGGAATGAGTTAATATTAAAATTAAAATATGACCTGCGAATGAGATGAGAGCTTTGAACTACATACAAATTGATGGGTCAGCGAATACGGTAACATGATGGAGAGACTGTAAATATTTTTCAGTTTTATATTAAATCGCATCAGCAGAATTGGACTCTCATCCCTGGCTGTGCACCAATGTACTTTATTACTATGTGCGCATTTAACATTCGTTCGAACGGTGAAGGAAAAATATCGTGAGGAAACCAAAAAGTCGACGGCGTGTATGATCATAAAACCCATACCTTTATATTGTAGCGCCATTGATTTATTTACTTATTAAATCGCATCAAATTATTATTATATTGGCACTCAATCTATCATCAAATGTGTATTGAAGTGAGGATCACTGCCTTTAGACAATATGTTATTCATAGAGTTATTAAAAAAATATTTTTATGAATAATTCCGTAAACTTCAATACTGTCTGTATTGTAGTCCAAAGGACATATCCCTGAGATTGTTTTATTTATTTATTTTGGATGGAATTATGTTGGCCTGAAGGGCCTTTACAGCTCAGCTCAGGCTACATTTTTAAAATTCAATTCAGACTTTATCTACCAACATGAACCAATTATTTTTACCAATTCAAATAATGAAATTCCTATAAATTCTTGACGTATTTAGAACGACTCAACATTTCTTTACAAAAATATTGAGATACTCAATTAAACAGTTATATTACAGTGATAAATAATTAAAACAAGATATTCAACAACAAATATAATAAACGTGCAGAAAACAGCGCCCTAAGTGAATCAGCGTCCAAAAAACCATGGCCATCCATATGGATTCCTACTTCATGCTCCCGTATTCAATCTTATCCACCTGCGAATTTGAGGGTTGGCAAGGTTTGTGTACACTCCAGGCGTTCCCTTACGAGCACAGCCTATACCGAAGGATACTACACCAAGTTGCCGTGTGTTCGAAGAAAATACCACTGGGCCACCGGAATCGCCCTAAAACGATATTCAAGTATTAATAAAGACTAAACATAAAATCAAAATCGATTTAATTGGCGGGCTTCACGTGAATCGTTTACCCTTAAATTGTTTTGATGTTATAAATAAATCCTATATAAATTACATAATTATAATTTTCAATTTATAAATTTACTAGCTGACCCGGCAAACCTTTTTTTAGTTCAATAAAAATAACTAGCTACAATAATAAAAAATAGGGGTTGATCGTAGAGGGGTGAAAATTAGGGTTATACCTATTTTTTGTATGCTGTATCATAAAAAAATAAAAACAAAAATGTTTTCTAAAAAAATAAAAATTAAGTTTTTGGTGTGGACACCCCTTATCACTTAGGGGTTTGAAAGATAGATAGTAGCTGATTCTCAGTCTTACTGAATATGCATAAAAATTTCATAAGAATCTGTCAAGCCGTTTCGGAGACGTATGGGAACGAACATTGTGACACGAGAATTTTATATATTAGATGTTATTATAATAAATCGAACAAAAAACAATAACTAACCTTAAAATAAAATAACTAAAATATATTATTAAAAGAAGTCCCTTTAGGTATAGTTTCGAAGATACTGGCAGCGTTCCTCCTTAGCTAGACTAATTCTTTGTCCGAGGCAGCTGCCAGCTCTTCGGTCTCCTGTGATGTCGACTAACCTTTTTGCTATTAAAATATAATTATTTAATCCTATTATTATATAGATCTATACATAACCAACTCATCAATGTCCACAATTTAACCGTGTGATATGCGACATTTTTAAAATACTTATCTGGTGAAAAGTAAAACTATCGAAGGATAAGTACTTGTCTCGCAAGTCTTTTGCCACATTACCATATAATATGACGTAGAAAAAAATAGTTTTACAATATATTCTTGCAAAATGTGTGTTATCTAGTTTCTGTCTAGTATTCAAGAGTATCATGTTGGGGTTCATTGTTATGAATAAGCCTTTGTTAGTAGATACAGATTCTGTATTTAATCAACCCAAAGCGGTCTATTTACTCCTACTTATATAGCTTGGTGAATAATGAATATGTACCTGGCATGAATCCTTGCCTCCTTCAGGAACTCCTGCGCAAAACATTCTAGACGTAATTGTGTTTCCGTACGATTTGCGACAATCTTCGTTGCTAACTATTTGTACTTGCACAGCCATCAATGTGTCACTTGTGTCACCTTTTTCCTGGAATAAAAAGAGATAAGCTTAACTGTTTTTTTATTTTAATTTCTTCTTATTTTGGTGCCTCTCATTACTGGCTGGTGGCAACTCTTCCGCAGTCGCAATACCCTTCCACTTCTTAACCTTGCGAAGCTATGATTTTTCCTTCTACTAAAACGCCGTTTACACTGGACTTAAAATATCAGTGGCGCTACAACCTCTTTAGGTCTGGGCCTCAGAATCGCAATGCTGGTCTGCAGTGCTGCACAGTATTTTTCTTCAGTTTAGTATAGTACAACTCTAGTGGTACACGTAATTAAGTATTTTGTTTATTATTTATGAACTTCTTGTACTTAACCCTCAGTAGGTAATTTTCCATACTATGATTGCCTGTTATCACTTGTTATCGATGAAGCCGCCCGTTGTCTAATAAATGATGAAACCTGTTTTTTATATGTAAAAGTAACGAAAGTGCAAAACGGACTTCTTGTATATTCAGAACTAAATAGCGTGATGCGTAATGCTTTATAAGTGCTTTATAAAACCCTCAGTTATGCAACGATGCACATCCAGGTGATAGGGATGGTACCTCTGCCTTTGTTAGAAGACAAAATTCACTTACAGCTATAGCTCCCCAGCCACTGACAGTGACGTTTTGGCCAGCACGAATAGCAGTGTTCCTTGCTACCAGTGTTGTTCTCTTAGTATTCTGTCCATCTATAGTCATGCGTGTAGGTAGGCGGACGTAGCCGACATCATAATCGCTTGTTTCTGTATTGTATAGAGGATGTTGGAAGAAAGTTTTGCTTTCATACTGGGTACCACCACTGAAGGAATCCGTACTACCGGCTCGTACGAACACCTCTTCCATTCTATAAGACATAATTTGTTTATTAATTAATTTAGTTATAAGTAATCTTACAGCTACACATGTCCATAATATAAAAGAAATAAAATATTAAAAAAAAGAAAACTGAAGTATATCATAATTGCTATGATCTGAATACATTGCAAGACTGAAAAGTTACAAAATAGGCTAAATGTTTAAATATTATCTAAATACGTGTACGTACATTAAGAAGTGTTTGAAATAATCTTTCGTGAAGTCTTTTGTTTACAATTATTACATATTTAATTAAAAATGTTGACGGTATAATTATTGATAACTTGACGGCTTGAGTGCTTTACTGCCCGCTCATTGACCACGATTGCTCACACCGAGTTATATATACGTAAACTATAGATCCGGATTTATCTGTTAAAGAATGTATGTATAATTATGTTTAATTCTCTTCGTAATCTGGTTTTTAGTCGGCCCAAAAATATGTATTTATCTATTTCTTAACAATTAATTTAAATTTAAATTTAATTTATTATATACTTTTACACAAGACTTCATTACATACACTGCTAACTAATATTAATATTATTTTTTTCTATTAAGTATTATTATTATTACATTATTTTTATTTTTTTGCCACCGAGGCGCAAACTAGCTGCTGTGGTCTCTGTCAGAATGACCAGCGCTATGAAAGAGTCTGCTCCACAGCATAATGCTGAGCCAGGGCCAATTACAACCACAGCACACACGCATTACTCTATTAAAACGTGCCTTATTCTTTATAAGAAAACAATTTGTTATCTTTCATTCTTTTTTATATTTTGTTGATTATTGTTATTTTGTGTGTGTGTTTTGTTAGTAATAAATGTTATGTCTATGTCGAATTCATTGAGTGAGTTACCCATATGAGTTTATGGGTAAACTATTTTTCTGTGAATAGTCTAATATATACAGTCCCTTATCATTACTTTGTTCAGAATTAGAAATACAATTTTTATAGGAAATAAAAATATTTTCCTACCTGTTCAATACTACGCTTCATTTTCAGAACAATAATATAATTTTTAATACCCCTTTGTTTGTTTTATTGCTATCTATATATCGTATGTTTTTCTGTGGAATATGTTCTTTGTCCTACTATGTTATATATTTGTATAGCTATTTTAATGCGGAAATAAATACCCGGTCAAGCAATGTGCGGCAGTCAAGACATTATTTTCGTTCAGAATGGATCCCCCACACTGGTAATAGTCATTTCCCTTTCTCAGCAAGAGATATACTTGATAAGGGAAACTCTGTATGGTTGCATTGTAACCACCTACTATCCTGCCATCGTGTCTTAAGTGCACACGTCGTCGACATACAACATCTGTAACAAATAATATATTTTATGCGTTGTATCGCCGTAGTATAATGACTGGGGTGGATAACTAGTCCAGATATATCGGTGTCAAAAAGTCAAAATCATTTATTCATATAGGTAACACAATGTACACTTATGAACGTCAAAAATATAAAAATAAAAGCTTCTAATATTACATTAACTGCCAGTGCTCAAATCAAGGGCGTAGAACGGAAGAGAAGAACTGCCTATAAACTCTCCGCTACTCTTTTCAATTGCCAAGTTTCTTGTATTACACAACGTTTATAAGAAGCTGCAAACATTACAACATGTTCCACATGATATCTTAAGTAATAAATAATAATAAAATCAATTAAAAACAAAGATTTGTCCTCTATCAGCAGGAGGCATGGTGAAATAGGAGCACGCACTTACATTCTCGTGGGAACAACACGCAAATACATAGTCGAAATTACTAACATCACCGCATACTTGAATTCAAGTACGACCAGTCACCCACAAGTTGCACCCGTTCACGAGTATGACGCATGGTCAGCCATCGGCCCCCTCGCCATATTTTAGGGAGATAGAGACAACCTGACGCATGGACACCGTTAAATCTATGACATTTAAGCGAGCATGACGATCCTTGAAATGTGAACTTGGCTATAATAAATCTAGAGATCCTGATTCCACCCATGGTGATCCATAGAAATTTTAATAAAAATGAATCATTCGGACATTGAATCATTAAAATTTCTATAGCCGACCAAGGTTTCCACTGTCGTGTCACGAGATTTAAACTCACATTTAATATACATTGATGATATTTGTTACATTTCTTTTCAGAAAATAATCACTAACGTGTCAGGCCAGGGGCCTTATCTCCTACTTGCCTAGTAGATAAAAAAAATATTAGGGAAACAATTAACGAAATCTGAGGCCACGATCACGGCTTATAGTACGTACCTTGCACTAACAAACAAAAGAATAGGACAACACAACTTTTTACTGCATTCATCCTGGCTCACGATTGATTTGAGTATGTTTTTTCACTTCACCATATATAAATCCTTTCCTTTTCATGTTTTTCTTTAAAATAAACTATTTCTTATCATAATTGGATCGTCATTAACGTATTAAAAAGTCATTACTACGACACTTCCTATAATTTTCGAAAATTGTTCCTGTAACAAGGCTTAGAAAATATTGTTATGTTTACGCATTTAAAACAAAACGCTTTAACTATTTGGACTATCTCTATTAGTTTAATCTAAGTAATTGTATAGCTAACTGAATGTGTTTTTCTGATAGTAGTTCATTTTAACTAAGGCCGTTCTCTAATACCTAATACTTCCGAATAAATATTGTAGCTATCGAAACTATACGTTGACAATATTTTTATTTTAAATTCAAATTAAATATTTGTAAAATAAAGAGATCGTATTTTGATCCAGTAAAAGTGTTTTTAAGATAATTTCAATCAACAAAATTGATTCCATACAGAAGCTCCATTACCACCATTGGTAATTCGAAGTATCAATATCCAATACATTTTTGACGTAAGTACTCATTTAAGTACAACAATCAGAATGTTTAATAAATAGTCTTGACTAATTAGCGAATGTTATGTTCCATTTAATTTGATAAATAGTTAATCAAATTTCATAATTCACTCAGTAGTTTAACGTGAAGTTAAATAAAACTTCTCTAAAGGGTATAAACTGGAATGTATACTGTTTATATAACGACGTTACAGTGCTTTTCAGTCAAGCACTTGAAACGTCAAATTATGAAGGTAATTTAATTTTTGTATATAAGCATTATAATGGTATTGTTTCCGTTCCGTTACTAACCAACTTCAAAACACCCGAAGGAAGAGGTTTACGATTCTGGTAAATTGTGTTTTTTATGTTTAAAGTGACTGAACCGATCTGAATAATTGGGGTGTCAAATCATTTTGCAATCAATATGCAACAAATATTTCCTTTGTCTCAATTCCTTATCATAAACCCTCTATATATAGTTGGTTTTGTGATGTGGGATTATTTTCAAGAAAGAAATATGTCAAAAGAATTGGTAAAAACGTTTAGTCGTATAGATTTAATAAAGTGCAGTATTATTTTAGTAGTAAGTTACTAATTTTGTTTAAATAAATTACGCTATAATTTCAGTATTATATAGAGAATTTGTTATTTTGAAAGAACTACTCATAGCCGCGTATGATAGTAATAATAGATCTTTGATCGGCAAATAATATATCCATTGAAACGTCATTTATTAAATTGGATAGAGTAATATTTTTAGAACTATCTGGATTCAAACAGGAAACTAAAACAGGAGATTTCTTTTAGTTTACTTTGAGGAAGAATCAAAACAACTTTAAATTATAATATTAACTTCTGCAATTTAGTACTACTATTGAGAGGTGTACTAATGGAGGTTCATAATACGAATTGCAGCTGAGCTTCAGTTCCTTAAAGTGTTTCTGAATTTCTATAATATTTTAGTTAAAGTTTAAAGAGAGAGAGAGAAACCTATAAACTATACAATATATATAAACTATCCTTACAGCGGTCGGACATGTATTAATTGTTTTACGTGTTTGCGTGTTGTTCCCATAGTTTTGTAAAGGCATTATCCATTCTCCATGCCTATTGCTGATAGAGGTAAAACGTTTGTTTTTATTTATCTATTATTATCATAAATTATATTGAGAAATTATTAGGAACATCATATCTGCAATTAACTAATTAAAATCTATAACAAAAAAACAATAACTAACCCTTAAATATAATAACTAAAATATATAATTAAAAGGAGTCCCTTTCGGCAAGGTTCCGAAGATACTGGCAGCGTTCCGTCTTTGAATTGCTAGACTAAATCTTTGTCCGAGGTAGCTGCCAGCTCTTCGGTCTCCTGTGATATCGACTAACCTTTTTCATTAGCCTTATAGCGCTAGGGCCCCCCGGTCAAGGGTCTCGACACCGAATGGGACAAAATCATATTCGGAGCCTGTATTTGCATGCTTTAATTAATAGGTTTCAGGTGTCAAACGGAGCATGATAGTTGTAGGTATTTACAAACATTTTGTAAAACTTATCTTGGCTATATACTGATACTTGCACAGCCTTAAGGGCCCCACTTTCCCCCCCCCCCTCCCCCCAAAATTTTTTTTTTTTATTTTTTCTTTTGTTTTTAATTTTTGGCCCCCTTCTTTTTTTTTTTTTTAAATATACTTATATTCCGCTGCTTGTGAAAAGGTAATTTGAAAAAGTAACGTGCAACCAGATCCACACAAATCACCGTTAGGGAGATTTCTCTTCACTCGACATTTTTTATAAAGGATCCTTCTTGTTATTTTAAAGATTATCTGTCCGCCCCAACGAACAAACGTGTTCGTGGGGTTAAATTTAACAGTGAACCATTTTCCAAATTTCTTGTTTTTTATTCCATTTCGGTTTCGTGAGTACGTTTTTTTATAAATTAATGGGCAAACGCGCAGGTTGCTTACCTGATAACGCCCATGGACACTCTCAATGCCCCTGGCATCGCTCACGAGTGCCTTGCTACGTTGCTAGAGAACTAGAACGTTAATAACAAATATAATTTAAAATAATGATTCAGCCTCTGTCAATCATAAAAATTTAATGAGATGTAACAGTAAATGTTGGTCATCAAAAGAACAATCGTTTGTAAATGTTGGGTCGACTGACGATAAAATAAACAATTCATTGAAATCAACAATAAAACAGATATCAATTGAATTTGGGACGTCCTATTATGCATTGGTTTAAAATTGATTTACAATGTCGAAATATTCATGTAAAACAGTGATGTGAGTAAATTATTGAAGCAAAATCAAGTTTAATATAAATTATTTGAAGAGAACGTTACTGGATTCATACTGTATACTATAAATAATATATTTTAATGCTTTATCTCTTTTAGACGCTTTCATCTTTAACCAGCTGGATATATTCGGTAGTGGGATAATCGGTTTTAAAGAAAGCATTGTTACGTACCTATCTCGAACCTAATCCGCTGTTTGTATGGTAATTTTTTTTGCTTAACAAAAATTTTTGGTATTTTTATTTTAACTTGTATATAAATTATTTTATTTTTTTTTATCAAAATAAAAATATTTATTCATTATACAATATACACTTATGAACGTCAAAAAAATATACATTAAATGCTTCTAATTTAACATTTATTGAGAGTTCTGACAATAAACTCTCCGCCACTCTTTACACAAGTTTTATGTTTTACACAACGTTTATAAGGAGCTGCAACCATTCCACCATGTTCCACATGACATCTTAAGTAATAAATAATAATAAAATAAATTAAAAACAAAGATTTGTCCTCTATCAGCATGGTGAAATAGGAGCACGCACTTACATTCTCGTGGGAACAACACGCAAATACATAGTCGAAACAACTAACATCACACATACATATATGTTTACCTAAATTGTCATACATTTCAGATAAAAGACTTTGTAACATATACCGTAGATTTAGTACTATGTATGATTTGGTAAACTTTAATAAACAAATAACTACTTAGTTATAAACAAAATTTTCACTATCGATTTAAAACAATCAGCAACGTCTTCTCAACCTGTCGTATGCTGAAACGGAAAGTATTTTTCTTGTGCAACAGTAGTTTAATTATAAAATTATACGTGTTATATAAAATTTGATAAAGTACCTTAAATCATTAATTCGTCAAATGGAAGAGATTAGCTGCCCACGACACAGGGAATCCTGCACTTTCTCTTTTAACAATACATCGTTTTTTATTAATTGTAATGAAGTTTTTTTTCTTTCCATAATAATATAGCTTTATTTTACTCCATAGAAATTCATACACATATACGACATAAGATATTAACGGCAAGTTAAATAATTTGTTGTATCTATATTTATATGGATCCTACACGGAATATCAATATTTTAATTTTTTTGCTATCTCCACCAATCTTTCGCCTGCCGTAATCGCAATTTCGTTCGTTCATCTGGTATAAGCCGGCCTCTTGGCCCTCTTGGACTTTTGCTTCGTGGCATTTATGTCAAGTCAGGTACATTATTTTTGAATAAATACATTATAACGCACATTTTAAATTAAATAAACCAAACTAAAACAATTATGTATAAAAATGTGAAATATATGTATACAGGTTTCCCCAATTCAAATATATAATTTACTTGATTGTTATAACTTTTGAACAATCAACTTGGCCGAGTTTCATTTGTTTTGACGATGTTTACAAAACACATAATTTAAATTGATACTTGCTGAAGTATGTCAAGACAAAACAAGACAACTGGAAAATTCAAGGCCCGTATTCCAACTTCTAACGAAAGTCACAAACTAATTGTAATTACCTACTGTAAAATTTGTAAAGTTTCATATAAATCATTTTATATAAGTAAACTTGGAGTTGGCGCGTCGACTCAAGGTAAAAATGTCCCGATCCAACGTCAAGTCTGTTCTGCTATGGGTGTGAAACGTGGAAGGTCACTAATTACATTTTGCACTTGCACCAAGTCAACGTCCACCGCTGTCTCCGTGTTATGAGTATCTACTGGCCCGATCGAGATCTCTAACGAGAAGACGCCCTGCCGAACAACCCCGATTAGCCAGCAGTCCAAGTGACGAAAGTGGATAGGCCATACACTCTGAAGAGATTTAAATCATATCCCTAAGCAGGCACTTGATTGTAAACCGCAGGAAAAACGGAAGCGTGGCCGTCCTGCGACCGCAAGCGACTAACAGTTAATGAGGCAAAGAGACGGACTTGGAGTGAGGTGAAATGCAAACCTCAAGGCATAGATTTAAAAATACGATTCTTTGATTTAAAAATCAAAGTAATTCTCGATTTCTTACGTATTACATACAAATGTCACATTTAATACTTACACTTTCTCACGAACATTAGTAGAACATTGTTGTGAATATGTATGAGTTATTTTTATTTTGAAATATACTTATTTAGAGCTACGGGAATACTT